ACTCTTTAGTCACATCATGTATAAACCTACATTACATAAAATACAGACATTCTTGATGTAACCAATGCACTTAAAAAACTTCTGAAAGAGCATAAAGTAGAACCAGGCAGATCACACATTTATCACAGCCCAATCTGGCCTGTAAAAAAGCCTAACAGCACCTACAGGATCACAATTGACTATCCCAACATGAATAAGGCCTCACCAAAGATAGATGGCTGCCTGCCTGACGCACAAGAAGTAATCAACGTGACCCAAAAAGCCGACCCGAAACGCATGGCAGCAACTGACCTATCAGACATGTTTTCCGCCATCCCAATAGCTAAGGAATCCAGACCTATTACCACATCTGCATGGCAAGGTAAGCAATCTCAATTCAAAAGACTACAAAAGCATACAAAAATTCACCTACAGTTGCACACAATTTACTTGCCAATAACATCGACCCCACCAAATGTAAATCTACAATTGTACAATACATAGACGACATCCTACTCTACAACAATGACAAGGATACCCTTCAAACTGACTTAAATGCACTCGTATCTCATTTGAGATCACTAGGCTGGACAATTAATCCTGACAAAATCCAGCCCCCAGACACCAAAACAACATTTTTAGGCATCCACTGGAGGTCTGCAGGCGGAAACATACCGAACAAAGTAATAGAGAAATTGCTAAACCTAAAAAGCCCAACCAACAAAAAAGAAGCACAACAATTAATGGGACTTTTCATGTACTGGAGACAACACATGCCATACCTGGCAGACATTGCAAAACCCATATACAGTCACCAGGAAAGCAGTATCTTTCATATGGGCCCAAGAACAGGAACAAGCATTTAAACAATTAAAGGACTACATACACCACCTTCAATCCCTACAAAGTATCAGACCAGGAGACAAAATAGTACCAGGCATTAGTTTCATGGCAGAACATGGAACTAGTTGGGGACTAGACAAAAGAGGAACAGAAGACGGAAAACTAATGCCTGTAGGATTCTGGACTCAGAGATTCCCTGACTCTTACCACAAATTCTCTCATTTTGAGAAACTAATCTGGACACTATACGTGGCATTTTGCACGTGGAGCCCCTGACTGGACTTAACCCAATGACCGTGCGCAGCACATTGGCCCTTAAGGCACGGCTCAAAATGTCAGCTGAATTGGCAGGTTCCCAAATGGACGAGAAGGTTCTCGCATGCAAGTGGTACATTAACACACAAGAAACCACTGGCTCCAGTGAACCAGCCCTCCTCACCGAGGAGGTCAACAAACTTGAGGTGGAACCACCTACCTGTGCCAACAAGTTTGTAAGACCACCCGATCCGATCGGTGTGAAAGGGCCACAGTATAGCCCTGAACTTAACAACGCCTGGTTTACAGACAGATCCGTTTCCGTAACCGGTGACCAGTGCGCATGGAGAGCAGCAACCTTCAATCCAGCGACATCACAAGCGCTAACGGCGACTGTAGGTCCAAATCTGCTCAACATGCCAAACTCATAGCTACATGTTCAGCCATTAAGGACTCAATTGACCATCATAAGCCCAAAATTTACGTCTTTTCCGACTCATGGGCAGTCTGTAAAGGAATCACTGAATGTTCAGGCAAATGGCAACAATCAGGCTGGTTAATTAATGGCAAACCTTTATGGTCACAAGACTATTGGATAAAACTCTACGGTCTCTCCAAACAAATTAAAATATACACACGTCAACGCTCACGCCACAGACAAAACACCCACATGCTCCACAACCCAACAGCAGATACATTAGCAAAAGGCGTCACACCTGAAGACAACATCACTATCGTGGACAAATCAAAATCATTAGCAATTAATCTAAAATTAGTAAGAAATGAAAATAATGACTAGTCCATCACCCCTCTTCCTAAACTTAAGTTTAGGAAAGAAAATGGCAAATACAAATTGCTCCCATCTACATCAGAACTCACCTTTCCACCACAATTTATACAACAGATACATACAACATTAGGACACCTAGGACATTCTTCTCTTGCCCCTTGGTTCCTTAAGATGCAGGGGTCCTCAAACTTTTTAAACAGGGGGCCAGTTCACTGTCCCTCAGACAGTTGGAGGGCCGGACTATAGTTTAAAAAAATACTATGAACAAATTCCTATGCACACTGCACATTTCTTATTTTGAAGTAAAAAAACAAAACGGGAACAAATACAATATTTGTATTGCATGTGGCCCGCTGGCTGTAGTTTGAGGACCCCTGCTAAGAGGAACCTAAAGGCACCCATTAAACTCATCAAGCAAGCAATCAATTCCTGTGAACAATGCAAAGGTACTCACACGTTTAAATCTATTATAACACCCAGACTGACTAATGCATTTGTGCCTAATCAAGTCTTACAAATTGATTTTATTGGACCACTTCAGGTACCCTTTGCAGACAAATATGCATGCACTATTGTTGACACAGCAACTGGAATACTTTATGCTTACCCCTCAAGACATCCAAATGCAAAAACCACTATTCAAGCACTCTCAACATGGTTCTCATTCTATGGACCACTGCACATCTTTGAATCAGACCAAGGCACACACTTCACAGCATCATCAGTCCAACAACAAGCACAAGACTTAGACATCGATTGGAATCTCCACCTGCCTTATAACCCACAAGCAGCTGGACAAATAGAGAGACACAATGGCCTCCTCAAACACAAACTGCAAACACTATTCATGGACAGGTCATTCAAGACACTCCAAGAATTACCAGACAAAGCATGTCTACAACTAAACTCCACACCCAGGGCAAATAGACTTTCCCCAATAGAAGAATTACTCCAACCACACATTCTAAATAATCCCATTGCAGATCATGAACCACCCCTCAATATCACCAAAAAATTACCCTATAAAACCTTAACCAAACCCGCTAAGGATGGCTCCTTATCCCCACAGGAAATAATTGCCCACTCTGGATCATCGCTCTTCTGGACTGTAAACAGTCTAGGACACCTACAACAAACCAAACTACAGAACTCTACCCTCTGGCAGGACCCAACTGCTCACCCACAAACTTCTATATTGATCTCTACACACTCCTCTCACTCCCCTTCTCAATCCTTCCCACACTAGTTCTAGTGTTGACCCTCAAATGCCTCCTTAACGATGTGCTTAAGGACTGCCTGCATCTCCCTCTTTGGATTCCCCCTCCTTATAGCACTCTTAGCAACCCCACTGAGACTCCATTGGATGTGGTGTCCGTATCGTTCATGTGACAATACCACCACCACCAAGCCCACCACCACCGTCCACGTGACCCTAGAGATCTTAAAAAAACCCTACTCCGCTCTCTATAACTATACCCTCTGCATCCTAAACAAATAATACCCATCTCTTTTTCAGTGATCAGACACTGGAAACCTGGAACAACTAGTTGAATTTCTAGAAGAGATCTCAGCAGTCCCAGTACCCCCACAATCCGCACCAAACCAATCCCCCACTTACCCTACTGTTCCCGCCCCACTTCCAATTAACCCTCCTTCAGAACGAGCCCCATCCCCAACAATTCCTCCTTACCCTGGTATTGCTCTTGACAATTATCGCATACAACTTCACCCCCTGATATGTAATGATTCTTGGTACTGCTGGATACCCCAACCCAACTCTTATTCTGAATACCCAGCAAACCTACAGACTAGCCTCACAGGCCCAGTGAGACAAAGTCTCCATAACCTGCTGGATGATATTCAAGCATTTGCTGAATATCTCCCAGGGCAAATTACTATTAATTACCTCCACCTCTTACAGCACTACACTCGCTTGGTGGAGGCAGCCATCTACTCTCCTAATAGAGACCCAGATCCTATCCCAACTACTCTCATTAGTAACCCCCTTCGTTGCTTCTTATGCTCCACTATCAATCCCCACCATTTCCCCTCATGCTGCCAATATGGGAATGCATACCCAGTCTCACTCAGGAAGAAATCGCCATGCACTGTTAGCACAAGACATCATTCAGGATTTAGAACAGGGAGACATGGAATTAGATATTTTCTGCTACCGCTAGTCTTTATGCTCTCCCTTATTACTGCTGCCTTTGCTAATGCTACCGCTACTATTGATATCTCCAATGCCACAACCCATACTTCTATAATCACTACTTCTATCTCGCACCCTACCACAGCTCCCTCTACTACCACAACAATCCCTTCACTTATCTTTCTCACACATCCTACCCATATACCTAAACTGAAAAAAATCGGGAAAACACTATGTGTACCCAACTGTACACATAGTGACAAATAATAATTCCTTACTCTCATACTCTATAGGACATTTTGATTTTAATACCTCTATCTACTACCATAGCACCTATAAACTCTGCCCTGCATACCTTCCTGCACACTCTTGCCAAACCCTTGCACTAAATTCTGAGCAAACGACTCTTAGAGCTCATTACCACACCCAACTGAAAACCTGCACACCACTTCAATGGTTTCCAGATGCACTCACCACTAGATCAATATCAATCATAGACACACGGCCTTGTGAACCATCAACTACAACATATAAAATCATTAACAAATCCTCTTATTCTCAACCCATCCAAACACAGATCCCTTTGTTACTCTGTGTGCAAAGAGCAAATCTCACTGTCACTCCCTTTATGGAAAGACTAATGCATTTCTGGTATACGGGTGAGGAAGGAACAGATTTTGAGGATTATGACTCTTATGACTCTTATGGGTCCATCCTTTTTTTTCTGTTTAAAGAAATTTTCTATGTTGGACTGGGTGTCATTCGGGATAAATGCAATGAAGCATATGCAAGCTATTTTACTAAATTTAGGATTGTTATTAATTTGGAGTAAAGGATTGTTGAAATTTTCAAATACAAGTGGTGTAATGAGATCTGTAAGAACTTGTGGAATATGTATGGCCAGAAATTTTTATCTGAGGTTAAAAATTCCTGGATAATCACTGGTTTTATCTAATAATTCTTATTTTGTCTTTTTATGAGTGCCAGTGGAATCTGAGACTAGTACCAGGAGGAGAAGTCATCTGCTCTTGCTGGGACACAGAAGCACCATAAAATTACTGCTCCCCACACAGCAAGTAAACAAAGGCCTTATCATAAATTGTTGGGTTACAACTTGTCATGCCATCCTTTGCTCCTTGCTTAGAAACTCGCTACCCAAATATGCTAGACCAGGTAGTCCAGGAGAAAACCCAATCAAGTCAGATTTTTGTTAGCCATACTTATCAGCCTGCAGCATGTTATGACTCTACTACCAAATGCATGTGGGGGGTGGATTGTATTGGACAGAAAAAATAATAATAAGACCTGTCACGGCCAATGTGCAACTAATTAATGTTGCTCCTGTTTGTTTCAGCAGTACGCAGGACCAACATCCAACAGGTCACCTCCCAGATGATCTATGCAACTCTACCCGCAAGGCTGAAAACACCACCTACCCCTGGTGCCCCCTGCAGGAACATTCTATGCATATGGGGCCACTGCTTACCTCTGCCTGCCTGAAACCAGAAGAACTCCCTACAAACCCCTCTGAGAGGAAGAAGTGGGATGCTAACCCCTTGATCATTGTCCCTTTCTAGCAGGAAGTAGCTAAGAGCACTTATCTCACACTAATCATACCACAAATAACCTTTACAAGGTCCAACTGGCACATATGGAAGAGATAGAGGATTCCTGGTGTGTACACCTGTTCAACTTTACCCAGTCTTTGATCTTATTCACTCCCCCAAAGATCATTTACTTCCCCCAATAAAGCTTTTGTAGTCCACTGATGCCATGAGAGGGATCCTAGACCTTATTATGCAACAGGAAATCTTGACCCTAGAGATGTTATCCCATTTATCACCCCTGTTCACCATAACATCCCATGGTCATTGCTCCACAAGCCTAAAAGAAGCTTGTGGGACAAGCTGGGGGGGGGGGGGGGGGGGGAGATGAGGAGGAAACTGGTCTTGCAAGGCATGTCAGGCCATAAAAGCTGTGAACAATGCGCTGCCCTGGGGTGGGGGGAAGGTCGTTATCGCTGGCCCCAGGACAGATCATCGGATATGAACTGGGGACCCCCAATACCTGGGGCCTTCCTGTAAGCCCAGGAAAGGAAGTGGAACCATATCTGCAAGACAAAGACCCTAGAAGGTTATAAAAAGTGAAGCCTTCTGTGTGTTTCTTCACACTGATTTGTAAATTATTCCCAGAGTCCACTAGTGTTAATAAATGGGACCCCTCCCTTTCTCTAGGAAGCATGCTTGGTATTTCTTTAGTCTTCTGTAACAACAGGATCCTAAAAAAACCACACAACTACAACTTTTGGGACTTTTTACTTTTTACCATACACATAAAGAGTATTACTAATAATTGTACAAAAGGCAAGATTTTTCATTTGTCCTTGACAATTTTTGAGGAAACTGGAGTAAAGGGTAGAGAGCTATCAAGAATGGGCAACTTTTAGCCACTTGCGATTTTAAAGTACCATTTTTCCTTCACATTGAGGAGGAACAATCACCCCTGATGCTCCCACAGCCTGCACAGGGTTTGGGGGTGACATTAATTTCCCCATTGCTTTCAGGACCACAGAGCTCCCAGGCCTCCAAGAGGAGGATTTAGAACATTTAAAAGACTCACTTCGTTATTTTTTTCTTCTTTCTGAGTTTACTCTCTGGGAAGCCAGTGAGATCTTTTCCCCCTCTTTGAACCATCAATTGAGATCCTTTCTGAGTAGAATCCTTATTATGCAACAGGAAATCTTGACCCTAGAGATGTTATCCCATTTATCAGACCTTCAGCAACACAATTCTAATTAGTCATTGGCTTGTAGCCATTCAGGAAAATCAAAGCTAATGGACTCTGTGCTGGAACCAAGACCAAGCTGCCCATTTTAAAACAGAAATAAAATCCAAAACAGTGATAAAACTCAAACAAATGAGCACTGTCAAATGAAATCCTCTGGTCTTAGAATCTTATCTCACACTAACCATTCCACAAATAACCTTTACAAGGTCCAACTGGCACATATGGAAGAGATAGAGGATTCCTAGTGTGTACACCTGTTCAACTTTACCCAGTCTTTGATCTTATTCACTCCCCCAAAGGTCATTTACTTCCCCCAATAAAGCTATTGTAATGCACTGATGCCATTAGAGGGATCCTAGTGAGAGTCCCCAAAATAAAAAACTCTAGGCAGCTGTGGTGGGCAATTATCCTAGAGCCAATATGTCTGAAGGTCAGAATCTGCTTCTTCTTTTTTTAAAAAAGTTCTTTATTTCAGAGAGGAAGGCAGAGGGAGAGAGAGATAGAAGCATCAATGTGATAGAGAATCATTAATTGATTGGCTGCTGCCAGCAAGCTCCCTATTGGAGATCAAGCCCATAAACTGGGCATATGCCCTAACCAATAATTGAACCATGACCTCCTGTTTCATAGGTCGATGCTCAACCACTGAGCAACACTGACCTGGCAGCTTCCTCTGAAGTTAGTTCCTAGAATTCTTAAGTAAATAGGATATTTATCTGCAATCACATATTATTTAACAGATTATCATGTACAGAATAATGTTAAAAGAATGGCATGTGGGTTATAAGGTTAATAGAGACCAAGCAGGGACCAGAGGTCAAAGTTAGGGAATTTTACTCTCTTCTATGGATGGAAGGATACCAGTTTTCACATATGGGTCCACATGACAACGTAAGAGTCACATTCTAAGATAATGACACCAAATGAGTCAGACTCAGCTGGACCTGCCTGGCAGAGAATTCTGTGGTCTTCCTAGAGAATGAAATAGGGAACCAAAGTACAGGTCAGATGTGGTCTCCACCAGCCAAAAGGTAGAGAATCCACTCTGCTTCCTGTGCTTCAAAGTGAAACAAAAAATGAGAACAAAGTGGACACAACAGGCCAAAATTGATAGAGAAGTGTCCGTTTCCTTTTTATGAAAAGTAAGAATAGCTAGAAGTGAAGTCATATTCTGAAAGTGATCAAGCCTTTTGCCTTTGTGAGAAGGACATAATTGATGAAGTGTCACCCAGGGTTTCTCCCTCTAGGGTGTGGGGGGATAAGTTCTTCCTCTTTCCAAAGGACAATAGTCAGCTTGGTGCAGTAATGCTCAAGGCTGTCTGTGGGGCCTCAACTCTGACTTCCCAAATCTCCAGTGAAAAGCAAGAGGATACAGAATGCTTTATGCATGTTGTTATTGTGGAAAACAGTAAAAAAACGAATTTCAAGTTTACATAACATCAGGTATAATAGACAGAGGACAGTGGCACATGATTGAGGACATAGAGAGAAGCAAGAGGAAGTGAACTCAGAAAGTTCCCCAAAAGATCAAGAAAGACTGGGGACTCTCTATGCTGTGGAAATGTACCTTGATCTAAGGTTCATCAAATTTCTGAAAGCTAGGGAGACAAATGTTTAATGAGTGTCTCATGTACACCAGGAATTTGGTACACAATGGGGAGTAGGAGGAGCCCCCTAGCATACACTATAATGGCAGCATGTGTTAGTCCACTGAGACATCAAGTAAAGTACAAGAAAATAAATTAATACTTTGTCCTGGGCACATCCAGCATCAAATTGGTGTAAGTCCTATTGCTGTCTTGGATGAGATTTCTGGAGACATTCCTATCATCCATTTTCAGATAGGTCAGGTGGACTCATGGGAGATTTAGAACATGGACAAGGATGAGTATCATACTCTGGCAGCTATTGCAGACAACATTTGTGGTTCTCCATCCGACTTTTTTTATGGTTGTTGTTAACACTCCCCTGAGAAAAATTTTTTTCAATTGGTTTTTAGAGAGTGGAATGTGGGGAGAGAGACACAGAGAGTAAGAGAGAAACATCTATGTGAGAGGGACTCATCAATCGGTTGCCTTCCACACTCTGCTTTCACTGGGTCAGTGGGTTCAGGATCAAAACTGAAACTCAGGTACGTGCACTTGACCGAAAAATCAGACCTGCCATCCTTTGATGGTGGCAGGATCTCTAACCACTGCACAACACAGGCCAGGGTCCCATCTAACTTCCATAAGTGGAAAGAGATTAAATGTTTCTGGAAACAATCAAGACAAAGTAGAGGCAGGATCCAGAAATGGAGAAGACACAACCCAGTAATTCTGGGGCAGAAAGTCAGAGTGAGACTGGAATCTTAAGCAGATGTTTCCATCATGAGGGATTTGTGCCAAAAATCGATTCAAATTCTCATCTAACATGTTCAAAAGTTTTGGAAATATCTGTACCACCAATTTGAACCCCTCTCCCCTGAGTTTTTAACAGTTCTTCATAGATTTTGTGAGACATACATTATTATTGGGGCAATGTCTTATATCACACTTCTCATGTAGCTCTAAAGAAAAATACTAGCATTTTTTTCACATTTTAAATTAATTAGTCTTTTATATTATTCAAAATGTCTTGCTTTCTATGCACAATTGTTTCGCGCCTTCATGGGAGGTTTTTCATGTTCTGTATACTTTAATTTTTCTTAAAATTTTCCGATGAAACTCTCCATGATCAAAGTAATAAAAGTGTTTGTTTTTCTTTTTCTTTTTGTGTGTGTATTCAATTTTATCCTTAGGGTTTTGTAGCTGGCCTAAGTTACAAGCTCAGATCCTGTTAAAAATTGTTTAGGATGTTTTCCTTGGACTTGTAATTCTAGTTTCAGTAATTAGTTTTGTTGATCCTGTTTTTGTTTCTTGAGAAGATGTGTTTTATCAAATTACCAATGTCCCTAGCAACTTTTTGTGTATTAGCTGTACTGTAGCAAATTGCACTATTTGTAATGAATTTTGTAATAGATCTTCTTCTAGTCTTTGATCCTTTATTTTCAATTGTAAAAATTATCCATCCTTACATTTTAATCTAATTTTAATCTAATTACATTGTAAATAAAACAATTATCTGAATTTAAATTGTATCACCAATGCCAATGTAAAGGGTGTCCCAAAATTCACCCAAGATTTGAATTTTGCGTGAGCATTAACAACAACAGCAACAAAAATAAATAAAAGCCTAATTTTACTTGATTTATTGAATCAGATTCTAATATCTGTTGCCCTTTGATTTCAATCCCTTCAATTTGATAAGCATTACCAAGTACCAATTATGGCCCAGGAGCAGGGACAATGAAGACCAATGAAGACCACGGCTTTGCGTATGTGCCGGCAAAGCTGGGGAGGCTATTTACCCGATGTGCTATTCCATACATAACCCTATACTGTATACTTTACAAATCAATTAAAAAAATTACAATTTTTGCCAAAACCGGTTTGGCTCAGTGGATAGAGCGTCGGCCTGCGGACTGAAGGGTCCCGGGTTCGATTCCGGTCAAGGGCATGTACCTTGGTTGCGGGCATATCCCCAGTGGGAGATGTGCAGGAGGCAGCTGATCGATGTTTCTCTCTCATCGATGTTTCTGACTATCTGTCTCTCTCCCTTCCTCTCTGTAAAAAATCAATAAAATATGTTTAAAAAAATTACAATTTTTAATTATAAACCTGTATTTTCTATCAAAATTACTTCTTGCGTCAATTTTGGGACACCCTTTAGATAGGTGTCTCTAACTTATGCTGTCCTCATAAAATATTCAAATGAAAGTAAAAAGAATTATTCAAATTGAATCAGTCTATTGGTGTTGATTATATCAATCATGTGTTTATGTTAATACTGGAAGTGATACATTGTAATAGAGCAATAATAACACGTGATACAACACTTAGAATAAATATATTTCTACCAAAACAACAAAGCTGCGTTCCATGGTGAAACATTTGATACTGCTTTAGTTTTAAAATTAAAATTAAAATTTAAAAAAATTAAAACTAGTTATACTTAGATAAAGTGTAAAATTCAATTTTTTCAGGAACACCAGCTACATTACAAGTGCTCGGGAGCCATATGTGGCTAGTGGCTACCACACTGGATACTGCAATTCCTAGAAAATACTCAAATGTTTGAAATTGAGGACATACTTCTAAGTAATCCATGAATAAAATGAGAAATCACAAAAGATATAGAAACATTTTAATCTGAATGATAGTGAAAACAGAATGTACAAAACTTTGAGAGATTTATATAAACATGCATAGAAGGAAACTATAGCTTTCTAACCTTATGTTAGAAAAGAAGAATTTTTATATAGTTTACAGGATATTTCAAGTAATATGCTGGTAGAGGCTCTGAATATTATTACCTTCTCCTGAAGAATATTGAGTGTGTTTGTCATTTAAGCAGACACTTAAATTATGGGCACATCACCTTGACCATCGGAAAGCTGGTTTTAGATGTCATTAGATAGGGACTACTCAAATTTTGCTGCTCCTTTAAGCAAATTCCTTAACACTAATGTGCTTTTTACTCCTAAAATATGACTCTTTAATGATTTCAGTGAAAATACTTGGTGGACTAGAGCCGCAAATTCTGTGTTTGCTGCAGGGCTCCTGCTGATATCTTTGACCTGTGTTTCCTGCCTTCCAGGATAATTTTCCCTGGACCCTTTGGAGGTAAAATTTCCTGGGTCAGCCAAAGATTTGAGGGGTGTTTACATGCATAATTTCCGAAGCTCTCCCATGATGGGATGTCTGTGTTTATTGGGGGGTTCTCCATCAGAGTCCACCTGCTCTGATTGCCCACACAATCCATCTACCTTCTCTCCAATCACCGTGAATTTCTGTCTGAGTGTTTTTCCTGTGTGAGCTGGACAAAGTGCTCTCAGGGAAGCCACATGAATGTGGCAGCAGTTTGGTTCCCTTATCTTTGCCAAAGGATATTGACTAAGATTTGAATGCCCTAGAGGGTCTATGTGCATTTGGTGACTTCCCAGTGCCTCAAACAGTTGTTTTACAATTATTATTTTGTATTTTCTCCATAGTTCATCAATGTTGTTCCAGGAGAACTGGGAGCAGGAATCCTTCCCTGAGGCTTTAGCAGCTGGTTTAATCCACCAAGGAGGAAACAAGTGTGTATTCACTGGACACTTCAAAGTGCACAAATCCCTGTTTTTCCTGCTTTACTCCAGTGTTGAAATGTTGTTTTTTAATGAACAAAATCTAAAGTTCACTATTTTCGTAGCCTGGGCCAAAACAACCCTCTCTCCCTAGCCCACCCTGCTCACATCATGTCTTTCTTACTGATACACAGACTGGAATTTCTAGACAGGCCCACACCTGCCTGCCCCACTCTGGGAACCCCCGGAATGACAGCAGTGGAGCAGCATCTGAACTGTCTACTGAAATGTTGTGGGCAGCATCTTCTCTGATTCTTAATAATGAGCAAGAGAAAACAGCACGTTTGATATAATTAAAAACAATTCCTTTAGAATTTTTAATGATATCTTTGAGTGACTTGCCTTTAAAATCACTGATTGGGTGTTATTTGGTGAAATGCTTTATTTTCTGTTATGAAAAGAATTAAGCTAACCAGTGAGAATATCAACATTTAAAGAAATTTATCTTGGGAGGTGGGGAGGGCAATGAGAAGGGGGAAGGGACATATGGCATGAAGGCTGTCTTAAGTATAAACCCAAATAAGTTTCTGTTCTGCCTTGAGTCACTTTCCTGAATCTGTTAACACAAGAAATTCTCCGGCTTTCTTAGGTATCTCCTATACCTGAGAAGTGGGTTCCACGGCCTCCGGTCTGGGAGATGATGGTTTAAATAAGGCCTCTGCAAGTAGAGGGTCTCTACTCAGCAGGTGAGCATCCAGACAGATTTGAGGCTGTGTCTCTAATTTCTGAATGTCCCCCAGCACTGTCACCCCCACCTCCACATTCAACCCCACCCCAAAGAATGTAGCTGCCACATGGCTTGAAAAAAGGAAAAGCGAGGTCTATAGGGAGGCATTTCCCCTGTTCCCTCCTATCCTGTTTCCATCTGTTGGTTAGACTCACGGTGGAGCATACTGAAACTCAGAAAAGCTGAGGTGCATTTGAGGTGTGTCAATCTATTTTGTGAGTTTAGATGGCACCTACCTATCAGAGGCCAAGCCCGGACAAACATCTGCTGTCTTCTGTTCCACTTTGTTTCCTATGGCCCCTGTCTGCAGGAGCAGCCCTCCAGAAAGAGCCAGGGGATGCAGACACACCCACATCACCAGGAATAATGCTCTCTATGATTTTTATGTCACTCACCTGCCACCTTTTCAGGTTCTCTTTCTTTTCTGCCTTCCTCCATACGACACCCACACATACCTTACTGGGGACCCAACTACACACCCAGACACTGACGCCATACATGCTTTCTCCCACAATAAAGTGCAAAGGGAAGGAGTTGCAGATAAGTCTGAGACAGGGTTGGAAATCACCTTTTTTTCCAACATCAGAAGGCATATATAATGAAAGGTGATTCTAATTAGAATATCCCTGATCTAACTCCAATTTAGGGTTAGTGCTCCTCCTCTGCCCAACCCCCCTTGGTACCTCTTGGGATTTCCATCTCCTGTAACCAGGTCTAAGGGCTGCTTTCCTGATCAAGCATGGCTCCTGGGATAACCCAGCCACACTTTGCCCATCATTCCCACCAGAAAGTTCCCAGGAAGCTCCTTTGTTGTGATTCAATGACCTCTTTCAGGAGTGAATAAAAGGGCTGCTCCTCCTGCACCTTCCCTCTTTCTGCTAGCTTTCTTGTCCCTAGGCCAGCAGTTGTCCCTCCCCACTTGCTGCAGAGCCATTGCTATGTCCTTACCCACCACACATAACAGGTACCTTAAAGTCACTATGCCTGCCCCTTTACTAGTGAGGACATAGGCCAAGAAGTGTGAAATCACCTGACCAATGCCCCACTCATATTTTCTATCATCATGTAAGGAATGATTCCAGTGACCAGGATGCTGTGGGGATCATGTGAAGAATGAGGAATGACCTACCCTCAAGAAGTGTTGGTTTTATCAGGGTAAAGATAAGAACTTCAAGAAACATAATGCCAATGCAATGTGAGGTTCCATATGAGAAGGCATGCAGAAAGTAGAGGGGAACAGAGGAGGGAGGGGTCTACATGCACTGAAAGATGTGATGAAGGACCTGGATGGGAGTTGCGAATTCAGGAACCCATACCACATACCCACTTGGAGACTGGTATGGTCAGTGACTCATGGGATGGAGAGAACAAATGACAGGCTGGAAGCTGGACACAGGGCTGAGAGGGACTCACAGGAAATAGCTGTCCCTCACTGGAGTCCAGCATATGCTCAGATGTGTGCTCACTTCAGGAGACTTTTGTGAGTTTCTTCAGATGCCTACTGGATTCTGCACAGTCCCTCCAGCCAGGATTCCCCACTGGGCCATTCCTCAGAGCCTTGACCCTGGATTATATGTCCTCCCTGCATTTCTCTGAGCAGAAGGTTTTGCTGGGAGTATTGGTAAGCCTTGTTGCTGTAATGATGGTCTTCGTTTTCCCACAGGACCATGTCGATTTTTTTCATGAGATCCTTCAGCTGGGCCTCCTGCTCTTCCCCCTCCACCCTATTGTTGAAGCCACAGTGGCGCCTGGCACAAATCACATCCAGCTGGGCAAGCTCCCGGTTGTCAGTCTCTCGCACATACTCATCCAGAGAGCCACCATCCAGGTCTTCCTTCCGGGTGAACACCAGAATGGTGTAGGCCAGGACTCCTACTCCAAAGACCTCCTGGAGGCGCTTGACCACCAACTGGTCCTCCTTTGTGAACCTGCCCAGCTCAATCACCAGGAGCACTGCATGTGGCCCTGGGGAGGAGGAGGCGATGGCTTCCCAGGAGCCCCTACCTGCCACTTCCTGTGGAACTCCAGGCGACAAAATATCGGGGGTGTCAATCACCTCAAGTTCCTTCCCGGCCCAGTCTCGGTTCCCCCTCTGGAAGGTCTTGGTCACTGGTGTAGCACTGAGCTTAGACTGGAACACTTCCTGGCCAAGGATGCTGTTTCCTGTTGCACTTTTTCCACTTCCGGTTTTCCCCACCAGGATGAGCCTCAGCCTCTCTGGAGTCTGTTCCATCTTCCTCAGATCTAGAAGCATCAAGAGAAAGCAGAGGGATTGGGGTTAAAGCCTCACCCCTGGGTCTGCTCCATGACCTCAGGGCAGACTGTCCACTGAGGAAGGACAGATTAACATCTGTGACTGAGCTCACATCCCATTCCTTTTAATTTTTGTATTGTAGTAAAATATACATTAACCTAAAGTGACTGTTTTTGCTATTTTTAGATGTATAACTCAGTGACATTGAGTACCTTCAAATTGTTGTCCAATCATCACTCATATGCATCTCAAGAATGTTTGTTTTCATCACCCCAACTAGAAACTATCTCATGAAACAATAACTCTTCATTCCTCCCTCCCCCCAAATGTTTGCTAAGCACCATTCTGCTTATTGTCTCTCTGACTTTTACTATTTTAGGGACTTCAGATAAGTGGATTCCTTCACATTTAATCTTTTCTCTCTAATCTATTTCATCTGGCATATTGTTTTCCAGGTTCACCCATACAGTAGCATGTGCCAGAATTTCCTTCTTTTTCAAGGCTTGAAAATATTCCATTATATGGATGGACCACATTTTGTTTATTCTTGTACTAGAGGCCCAGTGCATGAAATTCATACAGGGGTGTATCCCTCAGTCTGCATGAGGCCTGCACCCTCTCCAATCTGGGGCGCCTGCGGGATCAGGCCTAAACCGGCAGTTGGACATCCTTCTCACAATCTGGGACTGCTGGCTCCTAATCACTTGCCTGCCTGCCAGCCTGATCACCCCCTAACTGCTCCTCTGCCAGCCTGATTGACACCTAACTGCTCTCCTGCTGGCCTGATCGCCCCCAACTGCCCTCCCCTGCTGGACTGATCTCGCCAACTGCCCTCCCTGCAAGCCTGATGGCCCCCAACTGCCCTCCACTGCCGGCCTGGTTGGCCCTAATTTCCCTCCCCTGCCAGCCTGGTCACACCCAAGTGCACTACCTTATAGGCCTGGTCACCTCCAGCTGCCCTCCCCTGCTGGCCTGTTCACCCCTAACTGCCCTCCCCTGCCAGCCTGATCACCCACAACTGCCCTCCTCTGTTAGCCATCTTATGGTGGCCATTTTGTGATGACGTGAGGGCATCTCAAGAGGGCACAAGGACCGTCTAGGCTTTTATTAGTATACATATGGACATGAGTTGTTCCCACTATCCACTATTGTGAATAGTGCTGCTATGAACATTGGTGTACACATGACTATTTAAGTCCCTACTTTTATTTCTTTGGGAGCATATGTCCAGAAGTGGAAATGCTGGATCATATGGTAGACTACCACATCTTATGTTTAGATTTTGAAACTTCTCAGGGTCACCTGTTCTCATCCAGATGGAAACCAGTCCTTCATGAATATGGGACCCTCAGTTTTCCTACATATGCCTGGGTGATGAGGATAGAAGTGTGTGGGTCTGTGTCTACATCTTTTCCCTGAGCTTATTGACCACATTGCATCCTCTAGCTGTTCCAATAGGGAATGTGGGGAGTGTGGAATCTTTTAATCAGACCCCGTGGGGTCACATTTTTAGGCTACATCCTTGAAATTTGACCCAGATATTCTCACCCAGCTCGATATAGGAACTGTTGGCCAGGTGAATACTTAAAGATATCAATTCAGTATTAAAAAGTTTAATGTTAAGCTTTTAGAAATGATTTGAACTGAAGGACAGGAAGAGAATTCCTTCTCCTGGCCTTTGAGATCACAGACCCAGAGCACATAGAGGTCCCAAATAGCACCTCTGCTTTACAAGTCTGTTCCATATTGAAGACATTCATATGTCTCAATGACAGAGCCCTAAACCTCGTAGAGAAAAGAATAGCATCCTTGAATGGTAGACCCACTAACCAATTCTGACTGATGACATTGGCTCCTTGCAACTTCCCCCACTTGGCTTTGAGAGGGATGTGAGTGAATTGGTGGGAGTTTCAAGAAAGCATGGAAGGTGGAATGTTCATTCCTGCCCTCCCAGCCAATCTGAAGCTGGGTGAAGACAGTACCAACTCCCATCTGGGAAAGTCTGGAGCCAGTGCCTTTGATTGCCATGAGAAAGGGTAAACCACATGTTGCAACCTGTACTGGTAAATTTCTCATACAGTTTATTAATATGACTTTCTTCTAATGGCTCAGTCCATTCAAGTTTATACAGTAAAAAAAATCATCATGTTCAAATACATAATGAATCATAAATAATGTCTTCTGGCCAGGAAAATGGATGGATTGAGAGCACTCCTAAACTCTATCTCCCTGGGTTAGATGATGAAGTTGAGCCCGTTACTGTTAAGCACCTGACCCTGATGCAAAAGCTTTTAAGAGGAGAACCCCTTAAGAAGGGCCAGCCTAGCTATGAGGCAACTCCTTATTCATAAGGTTGTTTGTAGCCCCTCTGGTTTGAATCAGCAAAGTAATCACATAGGGTCTATTGGCTTGCAATCCTCTGCCGCCAAAGATGGTCTTGTCATGCCCATCTTCCTGAGGGCATTACTGGTGTTCTCTTTCTCTCTCTCTCTCTCTCTCTCTCTCTCTCTCTCTCTCTCTCTCTCTCTCTCCTCTCCCCTTTACTCCCACTGTGCCTGTTGGGGGTTTAAGGTTTTAAGCAAGGCCCCTCCCAAGGGCCATCTGCTGGGTGAAGCTCTGACTGGGCTGCACTCTGCTGCCTCTCCAAGGGCACCCTGCACATCACAGTCCCCATGCACACCTGCCTCAGGTTCAGGTACACTGGTAAGTCATTTTACCTCCAGACACGTCTTGTTTAGAATGCTGGGCCAGTGCTCCTGCAGGATTGTCTGGGAGAATCTGCTCATATTCCTCTTCCTCCACCTAGAGAAAATAGTATGTCTGACTGATTTTCCAAATGAGTTTCAAGGGGTACCTGATTTGTCTTTCTCTTGTCAGAAGGAAGAGTTTTACATTGCTTTGGGGGAGGAGTGGCTTAAATGAGGAGAGGGGAGGTCTGAGACACTAACTTTTTAGGGATCCTGTTTTCCTCTCTCTATCCCTTTCTTGTTTCTCCCTCTGTCTATCTCTGCATTTCTGTCTCTGTTTCTCTCTCTGTGCTCCTCCCTGTCCCTCTCTGTTCTCTGTCTCTCTTTCTTTCCTCTCTCTCTGCTTTTTGATCTCCAGTGTAAGTTTGGTCTCCAATGTGATTTCATGGAGAAGGTGCAATCAGCTTGCAGCCTGAGGAATGAATGGCATTTGGATGGACAGAAGGTCCTGGAGCTGTCCTATGAGGAAGAGAAAGGAGCAGAGACGCAGAAGCAGGTCTGACACTGTGTCCCAGGAGCATGGGAGGATGTGTGGCCAGAGTGTTCAGGAGGGCTGGAGCAGGACACTGTGGTGAGGGGCTGGCTTGGGGTGCAGTGAGGTCCTGGTGCCAGGATGATCCCTGAGGAAGGCCTGGAAGTGAGGATGGCAGAGGGCTGAGAGGCGGGTGGCCGGGTGCTGTGCTGAGGAGGACAATAGCCTCAGCACAGGAACTTCATGGCTTCAGGACAGTCTTGCTGGAGCCAGGAGACCTCAGGGCCCACCTCCAACGTCACACTGCCTGAGCCTCAGTGTCCCCTAAGTGTGAACGCTGTACCTGAAGTAGGTGTCCTGTCGTCCCTATAACATTCCAGCACGTTTTATGACATTTTCTATTGTGAGTTCTAGTCTATTGCAAGGGCCATGTCACCCGCCAGAAACTCCCATCATCCTTCAGGCGAGAGGACAGTGCACCCTGCTGCCACGCACACCGCCTAACCTCAGGGACTAACATTGTTCCCTGTTCCAGGAGTCCAATCTGGTGTGTGGGTTTGGGAAGGAAAGTGCCTGGACACACAGGACACTCAGAGACATTCACAGTCAGGGACCATCTCCAGATGAAGGCTCCAGATGTGGGAGCACCTGACTCACAGGCCCCTAGATCCAGCCCTGATCAGTGCCTCACACCTTTGCCACACTTGGTGGTTTTGTCTCTGACATAGAACACAGAAAAGCTACCCCACCCTGTTATGTTTCTTCAAAAGAAAGTAAAACTCACAGAAGCATCTTCCCCATATAAGCAGGGAGTTTACTCAGAGCAGAAGGCGTACAAAGTTCTCCTGACTTTTTAGTCATAGCCCTTTCTAATATACCACAAACACACACATTCACAACACACACACAAACACGGCACACACACCACTCACACAATATACTCACAACCACAACACACACATACACTCACAAACATACATACAAACATACGTATACAACACATGCATACACACAAATATAATACACACAAACATGACACACACACCACTTACATAATACAATCACAAAACACCACTAATACATATGTACAAAGCATACATGCATCACACAAACATAACACACAAAAACACAATAGACATCATTCACACATATACACTCAAACACAACACACACACTCACAGACATACAAAAATATAATACATATAACACACATGCAGTCACAAACACAGCAGAGATACAAACATATATATATACAACATATGCACAAGCATAACACAAACACAAATATACACTCACAAAACATAACAACACACAAACATAACATACAAAACACAACACACACCTAACCCACGTATACTCACAAGCACAACACATACATAAACTTTCATACAGAACAACACACACAAACAGAACAAACACAAATACACACACAGAGAGACATAATCTTAGACTTACCAGGGTGCTGGCCACTGAACAAGAGGAATAGCTATGTCCCCTGCCTCCCATTACCTTGTGCTCTTGAAAGTTCTTGGTTTCTCCCTTGGGGCCTGACACATTGTAGGCGTCTGGGGGCCTTGACTGCAGGAAGTCTAATAAACCACTATAGGCACTGGAACAGAAAGAAAACATTGCTGGCATTTTTCAGCAAAATGTGACCAGAAGCCCAGCCAAGAACTGCTGTAGAAAAGCAGCTATCTGCTGTGGGTGGAGAAGCAGGAAGTGGGAGGGAGCACCAGGGCCAGACCTTCCTGAGTCAGAACACATGCTGTGTGCACTTTGTCTACAGCCTTAGTGATATAAGAGGAAGAACAAGAAGATAAAAGTACAGGTCTGCAGAGGTGGGGCCTGAGGTTTCTGCTTCCCAGAGAGACACAGTTCCTCTGCTCCCCTGGGCATGGTTGGATCTGAGTGTGATGCTTGGAACTCCAGCTACTATTCCAGCCACCAGCCTAAGGTTGAGGGCAACACCTGAAAGCATAGCAGAGAGTTGGAAGAAACCCAAGCCCATAAGTCACCCAGGGCTGAATCCTTCCCCCATCTCTGGACTTCAGCCAGTGACTTCCCTTACTGTTTAAGCAACTGAAGCTTGAGTTCTCTTTTCACTGCATTTGAAAACATTTAAACTAGGAAAATGTTATCCATATTCCTTTAAAAAAAAAATCCTTAACTCTCAGAACTTCCCTGTGCTCATTATATGAATACTCTGAGGAAGTGGCATGGAGAATAAATTATTTCTCTCCTCTTGTTCCATGAATTAGGATGGACCATCCTCTGATGCTTGAGTGCCAGCTGCAGAGTAGACATTCTCTGAATCCTGAATAAAGTGGAAAATCTTTTCAGTGGAATTATTTTGAAGAATGACAGTGGGAGGGCAGAGGAGGAAAAAATGACTGCCCCCAGGCTCAGGGGAGAAACAGAGCTCATGTTTGAACATTTTCCTAAAAATTACTTTGTAAAGAGTTAACAAGACCCTTTCTCCTTCTCTACCATAAAATATCCTTGGTTAACTCTCCATCTTGACTCCCGCTGACATTGACAAAGGGGAAACAACATCTGGATTACCTAGAAGAGAGATTTTCAACCTTTTTCACCTCATGGTACACATTAACTAACTGGTAAAATTCTGCTGCATACCAAAAAAATATATTTTTTGTTAATCTTCCAAAAGCAGGTATAATTTGGGTTTATTCAGACTGGATGACTATTGTGTTGGTTGTTGTCATTATTTAATTTGACAACCTAAAGGAAAAGAGATCAGTGCCCTTGACTAACTATTGCATGTTTTAAAAATTCTTGCAGCACACTGGTTGGAAATTGCTTCTGGCACACTGGTTAAAAATCACTGCCCTTGGATTTTCTTTTTCTTTCTTTTTTTTTAAAATATATTTTATTGATTTTTTTCAGAGAGGAAGGGAGAGGGATAGAGAGTCAGAAACATCGATGAGAGAGAAACATCGATCAGCTGCCTCCTGCACACCTCCTACCAGGGATGTGTTTTCAACCAAGTTACATACAATGCCCTTGACTGGAATCGAATGTGGGACCCTTCAGTCTGCAAGCCGACACCCCATCCACTGAGCCAAAACAGCCAGGGCTGCCCTAGGATTTTCTTGGGCCAAGTTTATGCCTGGTCCATTGCCTTCCCTGGAAGGAGTATGAGCTCACCCATTGTCCATTGGAGGACAGGATGTGCCCCATGGGCATCAAATCTGGCACATCCTGCTCCATAGACATCACCCTCCTCTGCTCTCCCTCTGAGGGTGCAGGGCAGTGAAGGGAGCCACATGTAGGAGGGTGGCCCAAGATAGAAGCCTGGTTCCCTCCCCAGTATTGCCATCAGTGTTCCATATTTTGTTGATTCCACCTCCTCAGTGTGTCCCATTTGTGTCTTCATTCAATTTGTATGGCTCAGTGCACAAATTTTATGCACCAGGCCTCTAGTATTGTAATAACTATGTATGATTTTTACAACCCTGATTTCTGAGGTGGAATTATTTCCTTCTTTAGTAGTATAAACAGGAAAACAAAAACACAAGATTGTTATGATTTTTATCTTGAACTAGCATAATTAGAACTCAGAGGCTTAAAAAAGGCAGCAGATCCTTCAGAAAAGTTTGTGGTTTTTTTCTTGCCTGTTAGTATACCTTGTCATGTTGAAATCTAGATGTTATACATCAGATTAGTAACTGAAGTGATTAGGCCTTTAGTTTTTGTGTCTCACCTGTTGTCTGTGAGTCTCCCTAAGGACTCCCTCTTTTACAGCTTTGAAATTTTTATTTGTTTAAACTTTTTAAATTACAGTTGACATTCAATATTATATTAGTTTCAGGTGTACAACATAGAGTTAGACATTTATAGAACTTATGAAGTGATCCCCTGATAAGTCCAGTGTCCACCTGGCACTATACATAGTTATTACAATACTAGAGGCCCAGTGCATGAAATTTGTGCACTGGGGGGGAGGGGGAGGGCGGTGTCCCTCAGCCCAGCCTGCATCCTCTCCAATCTAGGATCCCTTGAGGGATGTCCAACTGCCGGTTTAGGCCAGATCCCCTAAACTGGGAGTCGGACATCCCTGTCACAATTCGGGACTGTTGGCTCCTAACTGCTCGCTTGCCTGCCTGCCTGATCACCCCTAACCACTCCTCTGCCAGCCTGATTGAAGCCTAACTTCTCCCCTGCCAGCCCTATTGCCCCCAACTGCCCTCCCCTGCTGGCCTGGTTGCCCCCAATTTCCCTCCATTACAGGCCCAGTCCCCCCCAACTACCCTCCTCTGCTAGCCTGGTCACCCCTAACTGCCCTCCCCTTTTGGCCCAGTTGCCCCTAACTGCTCTCCCCTGCTGACCTGGTTGCCCCCAATTGCCCTCTCCTGCTGGCCTGTTCACCCCTAACTGCTCTCTTCTGCTGGCCTGATCACCCACAACTGCCTTCTCCTGTCAGCCATCTTGTGGCAGCCATCTTGTGATGACAGGGGGACAGCCATCTTGTGGCCACATGGGACGGCCATCTTGTGTGCGAGAGCATGACAGATATTTGCATATTACCTCTTTATTATATAGGATTATTGACTATATTCCCTATGCTGTGTTTTTCATCCCTGTGATTTCTTTTAACTGTCAATTTGTACTATTTAAAGGACTTCTTCTTAAATGAAGTCTGCCCCCCATAGTTCCTGCAGCTTCAATTTGCTATTGCCATATCAGAGCCCTGTCTATGTGGTGGTCAGGCGTGAGGGAAGGGCAGTGCGGTCTTGGAGTTAAATCACACTCTCAGTGGGTCTGTGTCCTGGGGCTGTGATCATCACAGCTTTTTATTTTGTTATATTTTCTTTTGTTTTTTGTTTTTAGCTTTCCCTTCCCTTGCCCCTTTTTGGTGATATAGGCCAAATATGGTGACTTCTGGCTTTTCCTCCTCTTTTTATTAAAGCTTCATTTTCCCCCTCTGTGTCTTGGCCTTGAGTGTCCCCCTTTGTTATTGAATGCTTCATCTCATTTTTTTTGCTTGTTTTCTTTTTTGCTCTAGAACTGCTATGAAAAGATGGAACTGAAATGTCCCTCAGGGACTATATTCTATTACAAACAGATTTTTATAAACATTTGGAGGTTTATTGGATGTTATAATGTTTAAAATATTCACCATTAGCACTATTTTAAATTTTTTTCTGAAGGAAATGTTAGAGGTGGTTTGTGCACCCCCAGTTCTTGTCTTGCTTCTAGGAATCAATTCAAACAAGAGACAACAACAAATAGCAGCAGAGCATTCAAGAGTATATTTTCAAGAAAAGGAAATGCATTAAGATATACTCTGAGCTGGCAGCTTAGATGACAGAAGCCAAACCAAGTTCCCTCTTTATTGGTAGTTCAGAGGATGTATACCCCTAGGGTGGAAGTTCCCTAGATACCCCTAGACAAGTAACAAGTTTCATATACTAGTATATATATCCTAATATATAAAAACCTTGGGTTGTAACGACTGGTAACGATGGATACTAGACCAACCAGAAGTCATTCCTGCAGTCAGCACTGGGTTTCCAGGAGGTGATTGCTTCCTCTGCAGGCACGGTGCCCCAGCACTGACTGCTGAGGGCGCTGTGAATCAGGGCCAGAGTGAGGCCTGAAGAGAGAATCAGGGACTGATTTGTTGTCTCTGTGGAAGCTTTTGATCAGCACTTGCTTCCCTCTTTCTCTCCCAGCCTGGCCAACAGCTGCACCTCCATTTCCCTTCCGGCCTCCACCAGGGCTGCTGATCAGCCCTGCCTTTCTGATCAGGCCCCATTGATAGGCCCAGAGACACTGACTGGAATAGAAACCGACCAATCAGAAACAAATCTGGGTGAAGTGCGAGGAACCAATAGCTGCCTAGGAGGTGAAGCTTTTGATGCTGACTAGCATAGAAACTGACCAATCAGAACCAAATCTGGGTGAAGTGTGAGGAGCCAATGGCTTCTTAGAAGGTGGAGCTTTTGACACTGACTTGCATAGAAACTGACCAATCAGACCAAATCTGGGTCAACTGTGAGGAGCCAATCACTGCCTAGGAGGCAAAGCTCTGGATGCTGACTGGCATAGAAACTGACCAATCAGAACCATATATGGGTCAAGTGTGAGGAGCCAATGGCTGCCTAGGAAGTAGAGCTTTTGACGCTGACTGGCATAGAAACTGACCAATCAGAACCAAATCCGGGTGTACTGTGAGGAGCCAATGGCTGCCTAGGAGGCGGAGCTTCTGATGATGACTGACATAGAAACTAACCAATCAGAACCAAATTGGCTGGCAGAGGAGGGCAGTTGGGGGGTGAGATCAGGCTGGCAGGGGAAGGCCCTTGGGGGTGAGATCAGGCAGGCAGGAGAGGGCAATTGGATGCAAGATCAGGTCTGCAGTGGAGGGGCCTTGTGAGCAACCAGGCTGGCAAGGGGAGGGCAGTTAAGGGTGATCAGGCAGGCAGGCAGAGGGGTTAGGAGCTACCAGGCAGGCAGGCAGAAGCAGTTAGGGGCAATAAGGAAGTCAGGCAGTGATAGGTTAGGAGCCAGTGGTCCCAGATTGCAAGAGGGATGTCCCCCAAAGGGTCCCCAATTGGAGAGGGTGCAGGCTGGGCTGAGGGAACCCCCCCCCCCCACGCTTCATGCACGAATGTCGTGCACCAGGCCACTAGTATATGTATATTCTCCTCAAGCTGCAAGGCTGACCTAACCAGATGCTGTGCTATCAATTAGACTACATTTAGGAGGAA